GTGGAACCAACTTCTCTAGGCGTCGCAAAAAGTTAGCCGTACCAAATTCCATAATGCCACCATTCAAAGGACCGGAGGCCGATCGAGAAAGTTGCGAAAACGTTGTTAGGACAAACTTTCCGAAGCCCGGGCATGGAAAGAAGTTGGTCCTCCCAACTTGTTGCAACAGTTTTCTGCATGTTCAGAGAACACCATGGACATTTTAGAACAAGTTTGTAGGACCCAGCTTTGTCTGAGCCCGAGCATCGAAGCTTTTGTTGGCTTTTCCAAACTTTCCAAACTTTCCACCATCTCCAAAGAGCCGGCGGCCAATCGCGGAAATTATTGACATAGGAGAAACTTTCGAAGTTCGGTTTCGGCTTGCCGGCGGTTCTAGAGGTTTGGCCGCAAATCGTGGACATTTTGGAACAAGTTGGTAGGGCAACGTTTCCTCAGGTGGGGGCATAGAGAAGCTGCTCCTGCCCACATGTTCCTCATTTTGTAGGCAAGCATGGGCAATCTGGCATAAGTTGGCAGGCTCAGGCCGGTACATAGAAATAGTTGGTAAGACCAACTTGTTCACAAGTTTCCCGTATTTCCAGAGTTCCAGCGGCATCGATGAAAATCGTGAAGAAGGGAAAAAAAGGTTGGTAAGACCAAGGCCAACTTGTTTTGAGATTCGGTCATAGTTGGCCATACCGACTTTTCAGAGGATCCAGGTGGAGCATGGATCTGCTCTCGTAAAGACCAAGAATCCTGAACCCCAAGCCCTCCAAGAGGCAAATCGCAGAGAACGAATCTCAGGAAGCCTACCGGCTTTCCCATGTGGAGTTTGAGAACGCTGTGTTTGTTCACCCGGATGCAGCCAGTGTCTTGGTAGGCGCTTCTGAGTGCTGAGTGCCGATGATCGTCTTACCTTTCAGATGTGCTGGTGAATCTGACAAGTTGTTGTGATTTGAGCTGCAAGGAGCCTTGCCCGATCAGCCTGTCGGCGAACAGAGCCGCCAAGAAATCCTCGATTTGTACATTGCTGGTTACTTTTGTCATCCCTTGCGCGGCATCCTGTCGATGCGGGAGAGCCTGGCATTTTACGACTTCCGCCAGTGGATGGACTTCGCGCAGCCCCCCGAAGTCAGAGGAGAGCACGAGACATACTGCCATCTGTGTGGGGGGTTTCCGAAAATAGGGCTTCCCTTTTTTGGGGGTAGAGTATGTGGCGGCATATTAGGGGTACCCCAAAATTGGGAAATACCCATGTCGTTTCCGCAGGGGTGGTCTTAAGCAAGTGCGAGTTGTTCTGGCACATGCCCCGCAACTCCAAACACATATACCGTGTCCTATTGTGAGCGCACACAGTCTCGTTGTGTTTCTTCTGAGTTTTGACTAATATGCCCGTACACAGACTTTCAAGAGATATGGGCGTGCGTATCTACATATCTATGTCTACATCTGTGTGTGTGTGTGTGCAAGTGTAAGTAAAGATGCTGACCGCCACTCCGCCCCTTCCTGCAATGATCTGCCGAGAGGTGGGTCCGTTGCTTTCGATAAGCTCAGATCCAACATTGTCAGCTTCTTGCTTTGCCGCGTTGACTTGAAAGTAAAGCAAATCTCATATTTGGATTACTATCTTCTGGTATATCTTCATGTCTTACATCTCTTATAAACTGTTCGTCTGATGTTAAAGACTATCCATTATTCCCTGGGGGACTTTCACGCTTCTCGCACATTGCGACTCTTTTTTTTTGGGCACGCTTCTGTCAAAGTTGTGCGATCTTCATTCCAATGCACTTTCCTTTGGTCCTATGTGTTTTTGCATTGGGCCGGAGGAGCCCTTATCTCATAAACCGCTTGTCGCAGCTCTTCGTCCCACTCTGTCATCCTCGGTCATGGCAGCCAGTCTTGGGTCTTATTGGAAGCCGAACTCAGCACTTTGAATCTAAATGAGAAACGAACTTGAGTTGGCCTTTTATGAGCTTTAACCCGAGCCCTCAGCCTCTTGTGGGATGAAAATGGCTTATGGCCACAACCAGCCTTTGAACTAGAGCATAGATGGTTCCCTCAAAACATGTTGCTGTTTTTTGCTCTGTTTCTCTGAGGGCTTCTTCGGAATCAAAGATCAACCCTTGTTCTTAGCTTCTTTTGGCTGCGTTGGTTTAATGCATGTTTCGGGAAGCTGCCAGAACCAATTCTTAATCGGGAAACAATCAATGGCTTTGGACAGGGGGGCTTTCTGACTTGACCTTTGCGCTAGGGGGCGAAGGTGGTCTCGTTGTTTCAACAGCATTTTGCTGTGGAAGTTTGAGCTATATTGGAATGACCTGTTATCCGCCATGCAGTCTGACGAACATTTAAGAGGAGTTCCCCTCCGGTTGATCATGGGTGGGTCACGACGTCGCATGTGCACACATGTGCTGACGCATGTAAAGCTGCCCACCATGCAGGACGGCGCATGAGACGGTTTCTGCAACGACAGTGGTCGCGAGTACCTTTCGGCCTTCAGGCTGGGGTCAGCTATGCGAAGCCGCCAGGGAAGGGGGTTTGGGGCAGGCGCGCTTGTGGATCTGGATGAGGGTTCATGGTGCAGGCTGAGGCATAGTAGTTGGAGGTTGTGTGTAGAATGTTATAATGGGAGGTTGCAAGGAAAACCGGACCAAAGTTTTTGGCGTAGCAGACGGGCTAAGCCATTCCAGGTTGTTTGCTACGTAGGGTTAATTAGGGGTTGAGCTCACATGGCAGCCGTGTTGGCTTATTCTGCACTGCTGTTTTGGTTTAGCTCCACACTGCTTCATCGGAGCAGGATGCTGCGCATCCGCATGCTCTGAGGGGAAGTGGTAAGCATGCCTGTGGAGGAGGTGAGCTGCGTGAGGGAAGCGAAGCGGCGACTACAGCAGCTGCACGGCATGCCACCCCGCTTCAGGCAGAGGCTCATCCTCCACAGCACCAATCTGGATGATGCGTACGAGCTAGATTCTGAACTGGAGTTGGACCTCATTCTGCAAACTTTCTCCGATGCTTCCGAGACCCAGGTAAAAGAGCTCGTAGTTGCCGCCAGTGATGGCTTGGTGGAAAAGGCGGGTGCTGTTAATCCGTGCTTTGTCTGGCTAGTCGGCCCTGTGAACCATATTGCCTCGCTTAGCTAACAAGGGTTAGCAGACCAATAATTTGAAATCATCAGGTTGATTGAGACCATGCTGCGTCTCCCTCAAGATCCAAATCTGGCAGTCGAAGACGATCCGGGGCCAATCATTTTCGCATCGCAAGAAGGCCACATCGATGTCGTGCGTCTGCTGATGGAGGCCGGCGCCGACAAGGAGGCGGCCGACCAGGAGGGCCGCACAGCCCTGTTTCTGGCAGCTTTGGGCGGCCACATTGGGGTTGTGCGTTTGCTGGCGGAGGCGGGCGCCGACAAGGCCGTGGCCGACAATGGAGGCAACACGCCTCTCATGGTTGCAGCTCTAGCCGGGCGCATGGAGGTGGTGCGTTGCCTGGTGGAGGCTGGCGCCGACAAGGACGTGGCTAACGATGGTGGCTACACAGCCCTGATGCAGGCAGCTGAAAGCGGCCACGTTGAAGTGGTGCGGTTGCTGGTGGAGGCTGGTGCTGACAAGGATGTGGACGAATACTATGGCTGCACAGCCCTGATGCGGGCGGCTGACAGCGGCCACGTTGAGGTGGTGCGGTTGCTGGTGGACGCCGGTGCCGACAAGGACCCGACCGACAATCTTGGCTGCACAGCCCTACTGCGGGCGGCTGAAAGCGGCCACGTTGAGGTGGTGCGGTTGCTAAAAAAACGCCGACGCAAACAAGGACCTGACCAACAATGATGGCAACACTGCCCTGTTTCTGGCAGCTCTGGGCGGCAAGATTGGGGTTGTGCGTTTGCTGGCGGAGGCGGGCGCCGACAAGGATGTGGCTAACGATGGTGGCTACACAGCCCTGGGCGCATGGAGGTGGTGCGTTTCCTGGTGGAGGCTGGCGCCGACAAGGATGTGGCTAACGATGGTGG